TTGCACATCAGACAGTAGCACGACTTTCGTCCGGAAGAGAGCTTCACAAGGTTTTGTCCTCACTCTAAATGTCTACGAAAATTGCATAGAATTTCTGACTCTCTCAATGTTTCGATTTTTTTACCTAAAAGGTTTACTTGAATTGAAACACAAGTCGCTATCAGAAAACTAACTGAAAAGCGGACAACATTAAATGCACTGTCAGCCTTACATATTTACCCTCGACATGTGGTATGCCTGGCGACGATGGAACGGTTCCATCAGGTATCCAATCGGAGCAAAACGCTTTCTGCAATCGATTCGGCACCGGAAGTGAGCCATCTCTCGCGGACCATTCTCCATAACTCCTCTTCAGCTATCTGCGGCATCCGCGGCGTTCCAGTGGCACCCGTGGCGCAACTCGATTGGACTGTGGCGAAAACGCCTCTGAAATGGAGACGTTGCGGTTGACAACTGCAGCGGTCCAGGAAGTGGCCGTTTTGAATCCACTGATGCGTCCCAGATCACCAGCAATGTGACGCTGCATACCGCCGTAAAGATCCACACAGAGTGCGTATATGATTGGGCCATGGGAACCGGCCTCAGGTAAAACTGGGATCTCTGTTGTGTAACAAGGTACCGCCTCCAGTGGGGTTGCCTACATGTGTAGTCCTTCATAGAGCTGCAACTGGCTGCTCTGCAGGTATTTTGCTGACATTTAGGCTTTATGAAGAGAACGCACCAAAATAGGCATTAGCCACCCTTTATTCATTTAGTTATTGCTCGGGCACATAGTCACCCTTCACGTTCATTCATTCATTCACCAGGCCCAGGGTGATATATTCTTAGAACTTTTTATCTCACTCTTATGTGCTGAAAGACATGATGAATATTTCTGCATACTGCATAGGTATGCAGTTGCACTCATCCCGTCGCTAGCTCGCCGATGCCGATGGTCGCTGTAGTAGCGCGAGACGGGCTCCGGGCACGAACCCTTATAATAGTCGCAGTCTCTAGCCATGACCTACCTACTATCATCACCCCTACATAAGACTCGCTTCACTAACCACTTCCATCCGGTACTACACCGTGACAACGAGCTGCCAACGCGACCATCAGTGGGGCGGAGACGTCCTGACGAACCACCGGCGACACGCTGCCTCGGGCGAGGCGAGTCGCTTCCTGTGAGCTCGGCTCGGGAAGCGCGGGCGGCGGCCGCCCCCAGTTCCACTACCCTCAGCGTGGGAGCTGCCGCCGGCACGAGCCTTCAGCAGCGCCGCCGCGCAGACCGGCGCACTTTCGCTTTCCGAAAGGACCGACTCGGCCGCGAGGATGGAAACGGAAAGTGTGGGTGCGAGTGGGTACGCGAGAAACAGGGGAGGGGGTAGACAGGGGCTGAATGATTGAATGGTATAGTGGAATCAGACAGAAGGATAGTCTGATCAATGAAAATGGAATGGGCTTGAAATGATCTCACGCATGTCAAAGTGCTTTTATTTTAGGCAAAATAAATATCTAAAACCAAGGCCCTCTAACCAGGTATGGACATCGGCCAATCGGGGCGAATCACGGCCGGCGGGAGGATGACGTCATCGGCCCATTCTCCGCCGACTCCGCCCACCCACGGCAGCGAAACTGAATGGGGTTTGCGTCAATTGTTTCGTGATCGATTTTATCCAACTGGAATGCAATAAACGTTCAGCGGCCTCTTAACCGTTTGACTCAATATCCTTGCAACCTTTCAACAGCAAAAATTGCAGCCAAATTGCAGCAAATTGTACCTAAGCCGTAAGCCCGCCCGTAGCAAACGGGTAGACAGAAACTAGGTGACCAAAACACAAAACCAGCTGTTTTGTACACGATCATTAGCATGTCATAGGTTGATATAAATGCCAAGCTATGCACAATGCACATTCGTGGCTAGACAGCATAGAAGTTAGAACCAAAAATACTGTCAACAAAATACTGTCAACTACTGAGTTCAAGCGCGGATCCAGCTTGGAGTTGGGGAGGGGGAGGGGGCAACTGTTCATCGACGGCGGACACAGTGACTGTGTGGAACTCAATGTAGTTTTGGTTATCGGCTCGGGAACGGTCGACGGCACTGTGCTGCTGCTAGGTGCCTCCTCAGTCGTTTGACGGGGCTCTGGAGCACCTGCTAAGCTTTGACTAACCGCTGCGGCTCCGGTGCCATCGGCTCAGAGACCAACAGGCTGTACCGGCCGGAACTGATCGGCGATTCTGATTATGTTAGGCTGATTAAGTGATTCTGTTAGTGCGGGAGAGGCAGATGGAGCCTGGCCGGTGGGTTCTGCCTCAACGCGGGGCTGATGGGGTAAGGTGCAGCCCATATACAAAAAAGTAAAAGCGTTGGAAATATCGCTTCACAAAGTCAGAGCATTTAGCATGGAAACGCTATGGCCCTAGGAACTGAATGTCGTGGCGAATTTCGATGCAACCAAATTTCGGCGGGGACTTGCATCCACCTGCCGCTGGTCAGCCGTGCCACGGACGCTCTGGACTTGTCGCTGCCGGTGCTGGCCGAGCTGGCCGCGCTCTGGGCCGACTGCGCCGAGCCACTGCGGCCATGGTGCCCGACCTGAACCAGTAGTAGCTGACGCCGGGGCGGCGCTCGGCGAGGCCGGTGCTAGTCGGAGATGGGGCCGCTGCCGGCTGCGGTGTCGCGCGGTGCAGCTGCTCGGCACGCTGGCCACGCCGCCGCCACCGGCTTGATGGCAGACAGCTTGCAGGCGCAGCTGGCCGCCTGAAGTCAGCGGCCTGTGCTTGAGCTGGCCATGCCATTCGGCATTCGCTGACATGAAGACCAGCCAGTGACCGTATACATTCCTGCCGCGTGTCGTCCAGCTGGCGCTCAGCTCCGGCAACGCGGAGCTAAGACCTCCGGGCTCCGCGTGCCAGCTTGCTGAAAGCCGTGACCGCGTTCACACTAGGTGAACCGCTTGCTACACGGTGCTATCACGAATAAGGCATTTACGCGATAATAACCAGTTCAGAAGTCTTGTACTTACGCGAAAAGCTGAACGAAGGGGTCCAAATGGGTGAATTCCAGATAAAAAGGTCAAATTAGGTCACGCTGGGTCATTTCAGGTCACAAAGGTCACTTTAGGTCACCTCAGGTCACCCTGGGTCAGGTCAGGTCACAGAGGTCACCCAGGGTCACGATGGGTCAGCCCAAGTCACAGAGGTCACCTTAAGTCGCAATGGGTTGGATCACATTGGTCAGGGCTATCATGGGCCGATGACGTCATTCCTGCTCATCAGCTGGCTACAACATCGGCCTATGGCACAGCATTACGGTGTCACCCCCCTGTCTAAAACAGTAAAACAAGCTTTCGGCATTACGCCATCATCAAGTTTGAATAAATTAACATGTTTTCGATTTTCAAAAGCTAGAGCACAATCATATTGTTCCAGGCATCCTCATAGCAGCTCACTTTTTTAAACGTATTGCAATACGTTGCAAATAGTGTGGTACATTGCACATGGCAAGTAAATAATGTACAACAATGTATCATTACGTACGCTACAACATGACATGCACACAATATATCATAGGTACAACAAGGTCAATAAATCTCATCTCAACATCAGCCGCATACATCATCAACACCCGGTTGCAGTAAACATTGACATTATAATCATATTGAAAAACATTGCCGCTGTTCTTAGCTCGATTCCAGTCAACCAGTCGTGAGTCGGGCAAGTCAGTTAGGTGCATGTGTACGTGTGCGTGTGCGTGGTAGAGTAAACATGTGAAACAAAGGGTAGAGATAAGTGAGTGAGTGTATAAGTTTGTGAGAGGGTGAGTGAGTGAGAGAGTGAGTGTGTGAGTGAGTGAGGGGTGAGTGAATGAGAGAGAAGTGTGTGTGTGTGTGTGTGTGTGTGTGTGTGTGTGTGTGTGTGTGTGTGTGTGTGTGTGTGTGTGTGTTATGACCTATGGTTTACGAGCGAGGGGCCATGAGCTTTTCATCATGTTTAATGTGGGCCTTAGGTCTCTAATTTTGATGGATTCAGTGATTTTTAGTTCAGCAGAATCCCGTCCCCAACCGATTATATCAATAGTAAAGGCGGAGTTGATTTCAGTGCTACTTGCGTTAAAGTGCGAATCAGCAATATGTTCACCTAGTGGGGTGTCTGGTTTTCTCAGGCGAGCGTCACTTAGGTGCTCGTTGAATCGATAACGTACGGGGCGGGTGCTTTCTCCGATATAAAATTCAGTTCGTCCGTTTCTTTCACAGAGGCTACAGGTAATTTTATAGACTATGTTTTTCTTAGTACACTTACCCTTCAGCCCACTCTCACAGGTGTGACAGTGCTTAGTCCCGGCTGGGCAGGGCGGTTTAGAGAAGGCGGAAGAGATAAGTTTGTTTCCTATTGTGGGACCACTAATCCAGGCTACTTTGATATTAGTTTTAGATCTTCTCAAAACACCATTGACTCTTCTAACGACGTTTTCGTCTAAATAGGGAAGCCGCATGAAAATCTCGTTTTCTTTGTTGCGCCGAGTTTTACGTTCACTACGCTTGCGAAGGTTATTCTTTATGCTCGTGTCTAACATGGCTGTTGGGTACCCGTTCTGCTCAAACAGAAGTTTTACCCGCTTTACGCTGCGATCCCTCGTTCGGTCGTCAGATGACACCCTCATCGCTCGCTTGATCTGGGAATTGAGAACGGCCTTCTTGGTACTCATGGGGTGGGCGGACGTAAAGTGGAGAATGATCGGGGCTGCCATCGGTTTAAAGTATAATTCCGTGGTGTACTCACCGGTGGGGTATACTGTTATGAGGGTATCTAAGAAAGGAAGTTGACCGGTGCTGAAGGTAGACTCCATTGTGAAGCTTATGGATCGGTTGTAAGCATTAATACAGTTGAAAAAATGGTTCAGGCGATCAATCCCATGTGTCCAGACCCCGACAATATCGTCAATGTAGCGTAAGTAAAGGACAGGGGCAAATTCCAAGCTCGACATAAATCCAGTCTCTAGCAAACAAAATATTCAAGCAAACGTCAGGCATCGCGATGGGAAACAGGATAGCCCCTCCCGTGGCGATCACCTTTATGCATATACTAGAGACTGGATTTATGTCGAGCTTGGAATTTGCCCCTGTCCTTTACTTACGCTACATTGACGATATTGTCGGGGTCTGGACACATGGGATTGATCGCCTGAACCATTTTTTCAACTGTATTAATGCTTACAACCGATCCATAAGCTTCACAATGGAGTCTACCTTCAGCACCGGTCAACTTCCTTTCTTAGATACCCTCATAACAGTATACCCCACCGGTGAGTACACCACGGAATTATACTTTAAACCGATGGCAGCCCCGATCATTCTCCACTTTACGTCCGCCCACCCCATGAGTACCAAGAAGGCCGTTCTCAATTCCCAGATCAAGCGAGCGATGAGGGTGTCATCTGACGACCGAACGAGGGATCGCAGCGTAAAGCGGGTAAAACTTCTGTTTGAGCAGAACGGGTACCCAACAGCCATGTTAGACACGAGCATAAAGAATAACCTTCGCAAGCGTAGTGAACGTAAAACTCGGCGCAACAAAGAAAACGAGATTTTCATGCGGCTTCCCTATTTAGACGAAAACGTCGTTAGAAGAGTCAATGGTGTTTTGAGAAGATCTAAAACTAATATCAAAGTAGCCTGGATTAGTGGTCCCACAATAGGAAACAAACTTATCTCTTCCGCCTTCTCTAAACCGCCCTGCCCAGCCGGGACTAAGCACTGTCACACCTGTGAGAGTGGGCTGAAGGGTAAGTGTACTAAGAAAAACATAGTCTATAAAATTACCTGTAGCCTCTGTGAAAGAAACGGACGAACTGAATTTTATATCGGAGAAAGCACCCGCCCCGTACGTTATCGATTCAACGAGCACCTAAGTGACGCTCGCCTGAGAAAACCAGACACCCCACTAGGTGAACATATTGCTGATTCGCACTTTAACGCAAGTAGCACTGAAATCAACTCCGCCTTTACTATTGATATAATCGGTTGGGGACGGGATTCTGCTGAACTAAAAATCACTGAATCCATCAAAATTAGAGACCTAAGGCCCACATTAAACATGATGAAAAGCTCATGGCCCCTCGCTCGTAAACCATAGGTCATAACACACACACACACACATATACTTGTAAGCGCTCACTCGTCAGGACCATGACACCCCACCGACTTGACAGGACCGGGTGATTTACGGAGGGTAGTTGCTTTTTAAGATCGAAACATTTATTTACAGCACATATACAAGAATCAAAAACATTTTGAATCAATATTTCTCTCGTACAATGATATCGATATTCTGCGTGTAAGCACCGACCCGTCAGGACCGACCGCCCGCTGGGTGGTTGACAGTCCGTCAGGCAGGTGCGGTGACCCTAATTAGGATCGGAATGTGAAGGGACAGACGGTGGCTCGGTCGGAAGGCAAATGAGGTAAGGTTTAAAGAGGGAGTAAAACGGGCTGGCCCCATGCACGTGTAAGTTCTCCCGGCGTACCGCTCGCCGGGACAAGGAGGGAGGAGGGGAGTGGGGGGGGGGGGGGTCAGCGGCCCGTAAAGTTGTGAATATATATGCAGAGCGGGTAAGCCCATCAAATTACGCGTAACATCCCTACGCCATACAACATAATTCGGCCACATAACTTGATTTATACTATCCTGATATATAATAATTGAATGAGGACATTTACTCCACAAGAAATCGTTCGGGTCGGAGCTTTCGAATTGTATTACAAAGCTTCGTCAGCGTATCGTAATCGGGTTCGGGGGTATCGGTCGCATCATTTAGGGCGATTCGTCTTTGGCAGACAAGGACATGTCACAGAATACAGATAGTAAAATAGATAAATTGCACGTGACATTCTATGATAAAACATTTAACGTATATGAAAAAGAAGGAAATATCTCATAAGCGATATACATTCTAATTATACCTAAATCTGTTAAATAACAAAGGTTATATAAAGTGATTACGGAGCGAGCGAAGCGAGCGGAGTCTTACGTAGAATAACGGAAATTTCTGAGTATGAGCGGCCGGCCGGCCGGCCGTGGTCACGATTCTGCGACGCTTATATCTCAGCAACCACTTGACCGATTTACATGCGGTAATTTTTGTAGGGTAGCTTCATTCCTTCTACCAAGTATTGGACGATTCTCGATGCATGTGGGTGACCCCTTATGCAAGTGCCACGTGCAAAACGAAGAGGTGTCACTTTTGTAATAGTTGCAATATCTCGGTAACTACTGGGCCGATTGCGCTGCAATTTGGCATGTAGGTAGGCACCCACTAGGCAATGCATATCCATGTGCCAGAGTTGGGGTGCTGCTGCACGTGCGCACGTGCAGGGGTCGTTTCCAGATCTCGAGAACGGCTGGACCGATTGCGCTGAAATTTGATACACGGTTAGGGACCAGTTAGTAGGGTGCCGTGCACAAGTCAGTTGGGACCCATTTTGCACGTGCGCACGTGCAGGGTGCCGCTTCCAGATCTGGAGAACGGCTGGGCCGATTGTGCTCAAATTTGGCACATCGCTAGAGACCGGTTAGTAGGGTGCCGTGCACAAGTCAGTTGGAGGTACCCCCTCGAAATTTCGCACGTGCAAGGCCCACCCTCTCGCTCGCTCCGTTAGTCGCCCCAAAAGGCGTTATACTGGTAAATAGTAATAAAGACCTACCTATATATATATAGCAAGTGATATAAACATGTATGCAACATCAATAGATAATAGGCTAACAAAGGTACCAGGTATATAAAATACACTATAAACGACCAAGGTTAAGAATAAAAATGATAGCAATGATCAAAAACACTCCATCAATAGGCTAGAAAATTCACAACAAATAACATTAATAAAAGGAGGATATACAGTTCACGAGAAAAGTAGCCATATGCAACAACCAATGGGGGGGGGGGGGAGGCGTGAAATATATAAAAAAGACAAGTCAAAATCGTACAAGCTTTTAGCGGCAGGCAGTAGGCACTGCGGATAATGGGTAGCCAGCGTTCCTGTAGCATAGCACCTGAATTCCAGTTCAAATTGGCATCATTTGAATACAATTCGAATCATTGAATACAATTCGAAAGCTCCGACCCGAACGATTTCTTGTGGAGTAAAGTCCTCATTCAATTATTACATTAGCAAACTCCACATCATGCCCTTTATGTTGCGGGAGCTGAACACACTCAGACTCGATGCTTTACTGTATTATCGGCAGAGGCCCCAAACAAGAACCACAGAGCCAACCGCTCGTAACCACGGTCTCCCTGCCTCTCCCGGGCCGCCGACCGCCCAGCCAGCGCCAGCCCTCGACCCCGCCCGAGGGCCACGCGGCAGGGGCGGCGCCGGGCGCGGCCAGCCGGGGAGGCGCCACGGGCGGCGCCAGGCATGCCACAACGGGCGGTCACAGCCGCCCGTAACACCCCTCCCCCACATGAGCACGAGTCATCCCACGAGCACGAGTGACCCCCCCGCATGACAACCACACCAAAAACAGCCTCAACAAAACACAACAACAACAAAAACGACAACTTCGAATCATACATTCATACACACCGTCCCGAGCGCCCTCACACATGCCGCCTAGCGTCGGCCGCGCCTGAGCCACCCCGGCAGGTAGTCCATCAGTCGCCGGTAGCCGGCGGCGCTGAGGTGGACCCCGTCAGCCGAGAAGAACCTGCCGTCCATCTTAAAGCGCCGTTTCCTCCCCTCCCGCCGGCAGAGGCGTCGGCCGAGCGCGACGAAAGTGGAGTCGGTCTCGCGGCACAGTTCGCACAGCGCCCGTTCGAGCCAGAAGGCCGGGGTGGACTCCCACACTCTGCCACCGTCGCGGGCCGGCCGCGGCGTCACGCCGAGGATGGTCACGGCGCAACCAAGGCTACGGGTGTCGATGATGGTCTCCTTCAGCCGCCCCAGCGTCGCCACCACCGTGACCGGGTCGAAGGCGGCCCCCCTTGGGTAAACGTCATTACCGCCCAGCCATAAGATGACTTGGAGGTCCGTCAGCTCCCCTTTCCCACAGACCCACGCCCTTACTTCGGTCGCGCTTGACCGCAGCCAGCGGCTCAGAGTCAGCCCGGGGACCGCGCACACGGACAGGCGCCGAGGGGGGTCACACCGGAAGTCCGCCCCGCTCAGCATAGAATCTCCTATTAAGAGCACGGCGGACCCCGGCGGACCAGCCTCCGGCGAACCGCCGGACCCCTCAGCGATGTCCCCCAAGCCAAAGTCCGTGTCGATCGGGTCGCCCAGAATCTCGCCCAATATGTCGGCACCGTCGACCCCGACTGAAGCCCCCGCCAGGATGGCGGCGGCCGGAGATACCGGCTCGCCCAGAATTTCGCCCAATATGTCGGCACCGTCGACCGCGACTGAAACCTCCGCCAGGATGGCGGCGGTCGGAGATACGGGTGGTCGTCCGCCGCCCTCCTCGCCGTCTCCCGGGCGTCTCCTGTCAGGAGACGGGAACGATTCTCCATCTGGCTGCGTCCCCCACATGGCTTCACCCGCGGCACCACCATCCGCGGGTGGGACCTCCACCACCACCTCCACCAGGTCCGAGTCCGACGGCGCCGGCGACGACCACAGTGCGGAGGACGGCATCTCCGTCACCACCTCAGTCAGCTCCGCGTCCTGCTGCACGATCAGCGGCAGCCCGGCGTCCGCGGAAGGCATACCACCTCCCGAGAGCCCTCTGAGGAGACCCTGAAGCTGTTCCTCCAGTCGCTCGCGCTCGGCCCTTTCCTCGGCAACAGCCGTCCAGAGGCTGTCTAGCTCCAGCCGCGTAGGGTCCATCTGAAACTTAAAAATACAATCACCTTTTGGTTCACGAGCACTTCTTAGCAGCACAAGTCAATATCTGCCCACCCACCCTACTTGATGTAACAGGGTCTTCCACTACTTTCGGTTTCGATCAGGAGGGACCAAATTTGATTTCCCGCCTGAAACCTTTGACACACATCCTGACCTAGTCACATAATAGACCGGTCACGCTCCTGTTCTGCCGCAAAACCGGATCGAGAAGACACATCGGTCGAGGTGGGTCAGCGCTGGAAGCGACTAACGGGCACCCACCTCGACTGCGGCCTCCCCTCCTCACGAGGGACACCTCAACTTTGTGACCCCGGTGTCCCGGACCTCAGCTGACCAAGACGCCCCACTGGGCAGTCCCGCCGAAAATGGTCAGGAGCACCACACCCGTAACACCCGCTAGTTTTGGACGTATCAGGGCTGAAACGAGCAACAGTGGGTGCCTCCAAGGACGACTGCAGCTGCCCAACCTCCTGTTGAAGCTGACTTACTGTGTCCTGGAGCATCGCGCGCTCAGTTTCGGCGTCACGCTAGGCTAATGCTACCGACCCACTCGATGTTCGTTCCGTATCAGTGTTTCCTCCTTTATGTTTCAATAACTTTTACCTGTCTCATACAGGGGCCGCGCATAGTCGAGTGCGACACCATCCAACAGAGGCAATAGCCGTTTACCCTATCAAAAAAGCACGACGCTGTCTCACAGGCTAACCGCCTGCGATACTACTCAGTCTCTAAATAATAATAATAAATAATCAAGGCTAACCGCCCCGAAAAATGCCTGCGGTAACCCTACCGTCCCCTCATCCACCACTGATCCGAGCAGACCGCTCGGCTCCGGCCATTAGTTAATCGGCTACAGTCTAAACACAATCATGCCAAACGATAATAACACAACAGACTCACCGTTGCCGTCGCCGGTCCTACCGACCGCGCCAAATGTTGCGGGAGCTGAACACACTCAGACTCGATGCTTTACTGTATTATCGGCAGAGGCCCCAAACAAGAACCACAGAGCCAACCGCTCGTAACCACGGTCTCCCTGCCTCTCCCGGGCCGCCGACCGCCCAGCCAGCGCCAGCCCTCGACCCCGCCCGAGGGCCACGCGGCAGGGGCGGCGCCGGGCGCGGCCAGCCGGGGAGGCGCCACGGGCGGCGCCAGGCATGCCACAACGGGCGGTCACAGCCGCCCGTAACATTTAGTGTATCCTAATATATTTTACCTCAGTTTATATAGCTATGCCGTCATATGTTGGCCCGAAATCTGCGGTTCTCATGATGTATGAAAAGTTCCTGCCCGCTTATGAGTGCATTGGTGGGATTGC